GTTCTGCCCACAGTTGCTACATGCTTAGCTCCTCCAACCAAAGGGCTGCTTCTCTCGGAGCAACTCCACAAAGCGACAGGTTTTGGTCACCTGCCTACTGTTCCTTCAACGGAAGGGACCCTAACTGTTCATCTTGGCATCCCAGAAGGTGTTTGCTGAATTGACTATTTGCAAACTGTACTCTCTCCATGGGAACTGGGCCAGGGACCTCGTGGGAAAGAACACAAGAAGCCAGACCTCTGGAAGAAGAAGCCCACTGACCCCTGACTGAGAAGAACAGGGATGCGCATACCGTACCCGGGTCCAAGTGAGCTTGGAGGAGGGAGAGATGCTATGGAAGGGGTAAGGGGGAGCTGCTGGTGCACAGGGGTCTGAACTGGAAGTTGGGACATCATGATTCAGTGCAGAGCAAAATTAAAAAAGGATGGGATCATCAAGGACAATGGCTCAAGACAAAAAGAAGGGCCAAGACCCCACAGATCATGTTGGGAACCAGGAGCAGATCTCGTCTGGGGGACATGTGGGGCTCCAGGAGGGGAGAAGGGAGAGAGGAGATTGGTTGAGGGTGCAGAAATGACTAGCTGTCCTCAAGGAATTCAGTGGAATTCAGGGCTGACAGTTATGGGCACTTGCAACTGAGAACCCAGGGCTCAGTCAAGGGCTTCACAAGAATTAGGTGCGCTGCCAACAGGCTCTCCTGAAAGGGCCCTGAACCCCAACTATTTCAGAGTAAATGAAAGATGTTCTCTGTCCCCAAACACACCAGGACCGCAGTAGGGCTGCTCCATCCAAAATATGTTCCTGTAACCCATTCCTGGAATTAGCCCAGAGATACTTTCTTTCCCAGGGCCTTCTCCTGGTCTGACATATTTGGTGAGGGGACAATGGAGTGGCAGAAGTAACAATGGGACCACAGCAGGGTCTGAGGAATGGGGCAGGAGGCGGGAAGCTTCCACACTGGCCCAAGATGGCGGGAGTTACATTGGAACAGAAAAGGAGATTTTTCTGAATAACTTACCCACCAGCACACACCCCTCAGGAAAGCAGACCCTGGGGAAGTGGTACAGGGTCTCATCTCTTCAGTTCCTGCTCCCCCCCGGGGGCTGAAGAAGGTGCAGAGAAGAGAAGGTCCTCATTGGCACAAGCCTATTTAGGAGGAAACTGCAATCTTCTCCTATCATCCGCTGGTGGGCTCCTGTGTTACACGCAGCACACAGCTCTGGCCACCAATACAACTTACAGGCTGTATGAGCTTGGGCAAGCCTCAGTGTCTCCGTCCATAAAGGGCACAACAACCACCTCTCGTCTCACAGTGGGGATGAAGGTTAGTCCACAAGCATTCATTAAACCTGTCTCGGGTGGTGTTTCCCAACCATATGTGCATGAACATCACCCAGGATGGTGTGAAGGTATGTGAAAGTACGGGTTCTCATTTGGTATGTCTGAGTGGGGCTGACAGTCTACATTTCTAACATGCTCCTTGGTGGAGCACATGTACTAATCCTGTCCCTGGTAACCCACCCCCAGGCACATCCCGAGGCTCCTTCCAGTGGGAGGAAATGCCACCAAAGATCAGGTAGACCCAAGGGACTTGGGAAATTGGTACTTGGGGAGTGAAGGATTGAACATGGCATGGTGACAGGCAGTAGAGGGGCCTCCGTTCTGTCCCAGACCTGCAGGTGACTTACGAACCAGGCTACAGGATGGACCCATCATTAAGTGACAGACTACTTAGCAGCTAGGAAGTACTAGAGGCAGGACCTAGAAAAGAGCCAGGTTTCCTCCAAAGCCAAAGCCTCTGACAGGGCCCAGTCAACCTCCAGGGACCACAGAGAGGCCCTAACCTAGTCTTCTACTCCTGGCAGGAACTGGTCATTCTGAGCACAGGTGTGACTAAAATCTTGGGGACAGGGAATGGGGGTGGGTGCTAAACACAGACCACTCAGATGTGGAAATGACAGGTCTTCCCACAAAGGCATTTTATTTTTTCTATCTTACTGGGGGAAACGTGGTTTTCTGTTGTTTCTGAACAAACGTGATATGGACACTAACTCCTTTCACCGGGTGGACTCAACCTACCCACTGTGTGCTCTCCAGCCCACAGACCTACACATGTACATCTCAAGACTGCTGCAGTGCTCAAGCTCCCTGGTTGGCATCCGAAGCCTCCCAAAGAGTCAGAGAGCTTCTTGGATCTAACACAAGGATGCGCATCACTCCCCACTGCCCAAAAAGACTGAGTCCTTATCAGTGATGCTTAGAGGGTCACACTGCCAAGTCTGTCTGCTCTAAAGGGGATAGAGGGTGAGGGTGTCTTTTGAAGGTGGGGCAGGTATGCAGAGCCTGATCCTGATTTCCTGGAACAAGAACAACAACTCCAAGTTGGAGACGCCCATATTTGGGCCCCACAGAGCCTCCCCACCTGGCCCGCTCATGCTCTCCCAGGGCACATGGGCCCTGTCTTCTCCCTCCATCCAGGTGTGTCCCAAACCCAAGCTCTTCACCCCTCTGGGTGGCATCAAATGGAACCATGAACAGAACCTAACACAAAATGGTCTCAAAACTGTGTTATATTGGCCAGACCAGGAGCGCTGGGAGGCCAGGGAGGCTCCTGTGGAGGCCATCCACAGCCATCACTAAGAGGCTGCCTGGACCTGAGGATTCCAGTCCAAAAGCAAGCCAATCCATGTCCCAGGTAAGTCGCACTTCACCAGCCTTGGTTTCTTCCTCTGTACCCTGAGGGGGCCGACATCACTTCTTAATCCCTTCGGCCTAGAATTCTGAGCAGCAGCACCACAGGATGTCTATGAGCTCTGGCTGCCTAGATTTAAATACGGGCTCTGCCACTTCCAGTGTTCCCATGAGATGTCACCAGAGCCACCTATCCCTACTGTGGCATGGAATACAGGTGACACCGACTCAATGGGTCACTGTGGGGATTCAGTGGGGGCACACCTGGCCTGGAGTGAGGGCCTAATGGATATTATTCCTGAGCTTAGGAACCTCCTGCTGTCACTGCCCTCTTGCTCTCAAACAAAGCCAGTCCGATGACCAGTTCTCCTCATCCCCTTTTGCATGCAGCCTTTCACTCTCTTCATGGAGACACCCACCAGACCCTCCCAAACCCAGGAAAGTCAACGTCATGCACACCCTGGTGGCCTGGTGCATGGTCTCAGGCACACGCAGGGTCAGGTGAGCCTTAGCATGCCAAGCAGCAGGTGCAGTCACTGCAACAGGACAGGGAGGACAGGCAGAGAGGAGGCAGGCAAGGGGGCCACGTGCAGTCACTGAGGGATGGAAGTCAGCACAGCCCGCCATCCAGCAGCCCCTGCCAGCAGCGCCGGCTCCTTACCTCCCCGGCAGGACCTCTGACCACCAGGACTGTGTTCCCCCAAGAAGCTGGAGGCATGCTAGAAAGAGTAGAGAGCAGGAGACAGGGAGCCATATGTACTGAGCCAGGTTGACAGGAGGAAGGACCAAGGGACACCCAAGGGAGGGTTTCACTTCAGGGTGTCCATGGAAGAAGTGGTTTCCAAGAGACCAAAGGACCCAAATGCCAACAGAAGATCATCCCCAAGACTGGCCTGTGCCAGAGGCACAGTGAGGGGGATGGGTGAGCAAAGGGAGAAGACCCCCATAGGCTAGGCCCTCCCGGAAGGGCCCCTTCCCTCCCACAAGCTGGTGCTGGGTCTGCCCACAGGACTGACTCGACAGGTTTCCTGGGACAGTGTGGACTCAGGGGGGAAGGGACAGAGGCACCCAGGGTGGACAAACAACCTTCAGGAAAGCCCCTCCAGGAGGATGTGTCCTCCACAGATGTCACTGTCACGCCTCCTGGGACCCAACGGAGACAAGTGAATGGGTGTGTTGGGGCAGAGACGGGGTGCACATATTCCAAAGCCAGCATCAGAGAATGCAGGTTCCAGTCCTGGCTCCACCATAAATCTGGGTACCTTTGGGCAAAGTACATATCCTCTCTGGGCCTCAGCTTTCCTCTGAAGATAGAAAACATGTTTCTACCTACGATAGAAAGCGGGTAACACATGCTCTACCAATGCCAGGTCCCAAATCCCCACAGGACCACTGGTAGGGTTTTTTAGACTTTTCTCTGGGGATTGGTTTGTGCTGAAATAGGGGGATGATCAAACCTCTAAGATTCCTGACAATAATCTAGACAGTGAGGCTCCTAAGACCTCACAGTCACCAAGGCCCACCTTCACGCCCAACCCAGGACTTAAGGATCTGGGGAAGAAGGAGGCTAGAAGTTGAAGGCAGGCAAGTTTTAGCACATTCAAGCCAGTTCAACGGCATGACTTCCCTGACTGGGCTGTCCACAATCCCTCTCATGAAATTCCTGTATTATCGACCTGGTGTCCCTAAGTTCCCTTCAGGCTGCCCTTTGCCCTGGGAAAATTATGAGCACCTCCAGAGCAGGAACTGTTTATCACGGGATCCCAGCAACCCCTCCCTGGGTGGCTCCTAACAGATGTCCAACACCTGAAGAACGAGACTCCTCTACACTCTTGAGCACTCATGTATAGCCAGTGTCCGTCACTAAAGCCAGCCTGATACATGATGGCACACTTTTTAAGCCTTTCTGAACCTGGTTGCACAACTCAGTTGACTCCTCCTGGTCACAGGAACCCTGGGAGGCAGGTATCATCAACCTGTCTTACAGACAGATAAACTGAGGCCAAGAAAGGTCAAGAGGCGGTTTGCCCAAGGGCACACAGCAGGGTAACTGGTTGTCAATGGACGCTGGACCAGAACCTGAGTCCCCTGATGTCCCACTTGGACAGCAGGCTGCCATCAGCAGTGCCCAGCCTGGACAGCAGTGTCTGGGCATTACCCAGGGGTCAGTACCTGGAAAGTGCCCCACAGGCCTACCCTTGAGACTGTAGCCACTGCCCTAGAGCTGCCACCTGCTCCAGACACCTGGGGGTCAGAGTGGAATGGGCTGGGCATGGTGGTGGGGAGCCCAAGCCAGTGCTCAGAGCTACCTTTGATGACAAATGCCTCCGACAGCAGTCGCATCTGATACAGGGGCTTGTTCTCCACGGACATATCATCGATCCCAGCCCGAGCATACATGCTGATGGCATCTCGGTAGGTGCCCTCCACATAATGCAGCTTGCCCAGGATCAGCATGGCCTCACTCATGTACTGTGGCTGTAAGGACAAGGACATGTTAGCAGGCTCTGCCCCCAAACTTCCACCCCTCCCCACCCCAGGTACCCTAGGATGAAGATTCTCCATTGAGGTATAGCCTCATGCTCTGCTCAGAACTTCCCACTCCTCCAGGGAGCCTTCCCTGATGACCAGACCTGTGAGCCACTGTGCACAATGGGCTCTAAAGGAAATGATTATGATTCCCTATTGCTTCACGTGTGTGTCTAGACTCCAGGCAACTGTAGACAGGGCTCTGTCCTCTCTCTTCTGAAGCACCCAAAGGTTCCAGCCCAGATCTGGCACTAAGGGATCCAGGCACTTATCCTGAATACAAGTGGGGCAGGGGGAACGCACAGAGACTGAGCCAAGTTTTGTGGGGCCTGAGCTTATAATTTTGGGGGTCCTCTTTATATACATATATAAATGCATATGCAAGTGTATAATTGGGTGAAAAGGCCTCAGAAAGAGCCACGAGGACCCTGAAGCTGACACCTACATCCACAGCAGCAGGACCTTCTAGGGGAGGAACAGCCATATCAGCAGTGTGGGACAGAAGACAGGAGAGGGCCTGCCAGGTTGCTGTCCTCATGTTATCAGAAGTGGAACAAAGTGCAGAGCCCAGGAGGCCCAAAGTTCCTGAATTCAAACCTGCTTTCTTTCTCAAACTTTCTCAAGGAAGTCTGGTCTGCCTCGACTACAACTTCCCTTGTGCAGACTGTGTTCACAGCCAGAGCGCCCAGTGCTGCTGGCTGGGGGAGGCTGAGCCAGCCTGGAGCTGGACCACTTCTGGCTCTGGGTTCTGGCTTTGGCCATGGGCCCAGTCCCACTCCGAGGTCCCCCACCTCGTGAGGCCATCTGCTGCAGCCCCTCCCTCTATCCCTCTGCTCAGCCAACCCATAATCCCTTTGGGTTAGGCTCTGGCCAGCATCCCTGCCACAAGGGCACCAATATGTCCACAAAGCTCCCTGGAGATACAGCTCTGGCCCCAACCCCTGGCCTCTGTCACTGGTAGGAAGGTACTTCCCTTGTTTCCCTATGAGGAGTTAAGAGCTGGGGTACCTGTGGCCCCAGGGGGAGCCTCGAGCACTTCCCATCATCTACTGCCTCCAGAAGCCAACTAAGAGAAGCAAAACGGAGTCAGAGCCAGCCCCAGGGAGGCCGAAGTCTCCTTCCCTTATTGGTTTCTGGGTTTTGTAAACATATTCCTCTGCTGCTTTTGCTCACTCAGGACTCCTTCCTCTCAGCCTGCCCAGATCCTCTTCCATCTTTGGGCCTTGCTCAGGCCCACCCCCTCTGGGAAGCTTACATAAGCACCAGGGGATACCCTTCTGCTGAACCCCTATTACACTTCTTCAGGTTAGGCTCAATCAGCCCCTGCTCACCTGGTCTGTCCTGACTCTCAAAGGCTGAATTTTTCAAGGGCATTTGACATAGAATGTATTTCCCAAAGAGGCCACCCACTTCCTGGGCCAGGGCCACAGATGACACATCCCCAGAAGGGTGCAGCCTACAGCACTTCTGAGCCAGGCGATGACTCTGCCATTCTGTGTACTGGTCTCGAGCCACGGGCTCATTTCCTCCTTGCTCAGTCCTAACTGTCCTCACTGTTGAGGGAGAGGCAAGGGCACCCACTCCCCACACCCCCATGGCAGCCATGCTAAGAGCATTAATAGGGCAAAGTCCAGAAGACTTTGAACTGTTCCTGAGAAAGGAGCTAGATAAATACAGAGTATGAGTAATTATTATGATTACCCACTTCTGTTGAAGATGAGGAAGGGACAGCAAGGCTCACAAGGACACATTTCAGGGCATGATGACGGGGTGTGCCTAGTGGTGGCTCCTAGTGGACCAATGACAGTTTACAATAGAGCTTCCACCAAGCTGGGGGAAAATTAGGAGCGATGCAGTGACTGTTTCATAAAGCTGATCGTGTGCTACTTAAAAAGCTACTCTTAGCCGGGCACAGTGACGCATGCCTGTAATCCCAGCGGCTCGGGAGGCTGAGGCAGGAGGATCAAGAGTTCAAAGCCAGCCTCAGCAACAGCAAGGCGCTAAGCAAATAAAATACAAAATAGGGCTGGGACACTGGCTTTAGTGGTCAAGTGCCTCTGAGTTCAATCTCCTTACTGCTCCCCCCATTCCCCCACAAAAAGCTACTAAATCATAAACCTGGTCCAGTGGAAGGAGGCTAGGCAGCCATCAGCAAGTGCTCAGCTTGCGGGGGGGCAGGGGGGTCCCTTGCTGAGTGATGGATCATCAGTCACCTATTCTATTTGTGCCTCATCGTCCCTGTCCATATGAAGGGAAGAATGACTTCATGGAGACAGCAACACAGGGGGAAAGAACAGATGAGGAAATAGTTCCTAACATGGGACCTATTAAAGCAGGAGGGCTATCATCATCCTTAAATTAATCCAAGTTCCTCAGTAATTATTTTATTTCTATTCCAATACTTTGGGAGGCAGCACCAAGGAGGCACAGAGAGCACTGGAGCTTGGGATGCAGAGACAGAACAGATGGGCCTCGGTTCCAGTCCTGTACCTACTAGGCTAGTGTGGTCCTTGGTGTAGGGATCACCTTTCCTGGGGCTCAGAACTGGGGCAAAAGTAAATACCATTGCAGAAGGTGATCGGGAAGCCTCAATGGGATGCCACAATGCCTGGAGCTCAGTGGGTAACAGAAATCTAGCAAGTGGCATGTTTTCACCTACTTGGATACAAATGAGCTGAACAGGATCTTTTTGGGGGGCACACGGAGCGAGGGGAGTGGGGTAACTGAGGACTGAACTCAGGGGCACTCATCCACTAAGCCACATCCCCAGCCCTGTTTTGTATTTTATTTAGAGACAGGGTCTCATTGAATTGCTTAGCTCCTTGCTGTTGCTGAGGCTGGCTTTGAATTTGCAATCCTCCTGCCTCAGTCTCCTGAGCTGTTGAGATTACAGGTGCGCACCACGGTGCCCGCTGGACAGGATCTTAAAGATGATCCAGAGTGGAGGTGCCTCAGGACCACCCCCCCTTCTCATTCATCACAGCTATTTGGGGTGCAAGGAAATCCACATGGAGAGATCACCCCAGCTATACCTTATCTTTGGGAAAAGACAGAGATTCCCCAAACTGCTTTTTAAAAAATTAATTAAAAAAAATTTTTTTAGTTGTAGATGGACATGATACCTTTATTTTACTTATTTTTTTTATGTGATGCTGAGGATCAAACCCAGTGCCTCACATTTGCTAGGTAAGTACCCTACCACTTAGCTACAACTCCAGCCCAATTTTTTGAAAAAAAAATTTATACACAAATGGAACCCAACTTTTCATTTCTCTGGCTGAACATGATGTAGAGTCACACCATTCGAGCAATCATACTCATACATAGGGATAATAATGTCCATCTCATTCCACCATCTTCCTCCTCTCTCCCCACAGGCTGCTTGTAATATTTTAGTTTACTTAATCAATATCAAGTTTTTGGCTTTGGCCTGAAAAACAGAAAATTCCTCCATATTACTGGTGCCTATGTATGTCTTTGTTTAATAAAACACAGTTAGATTTGCATTTAATAAATGGGATGTTGTGTATGTAAATGCATGACCTAGAGGGGCATGTCCAACTAGGCTGCTTGACTGGATAATTTTGTTCTTTGCTTGTGTTTTTATTTTTCCTGTAATGCACATATTAACTTTTGAAAAAAATAAAAAGCTATTTTTAAAACAGTACCAACAACAAAAATAGAATTTAGATGAAACCATTTGTACAAAAATTCATGTGGATAATATTTAGTCAATATAAAATGGGGTTCAGGCACAGAGAAAGCTCCAACTGAAAGCTCTTGGCAAGAAAAAGCAACTTGTCAAACATATATTCTACAGCCCTATGGAAAGCTCTAGTTTGTGAGTTTGTATATAAATAAAGAAAGAATGCAACAGTGAGGAGTGTCCAGTCCATAGATGGCAGTAGGCAGAGAGGGGGATAGCACTGAAGGACCTTAATTTGTCATTCAAATTACTTGTTTATTGATTACATTTTAATTAAGTCTACTAGAAGGAAACAAAAAATAATAATAATAAAAGAGGTTTTAGTGGAAGCAGCTGAGGAACAAAAAAAAAAAAAAAAAAAAAGAAAGAGAGAGATGTTTTAGTGGAAGAAGCTTGAAACTCACCACTTGGGTCCAACCTTTTGATAGGCAGATGGGGAAATGGAAGACCCACTGGATCAAGGGATAAGTTCAGGGTCAAGAAATTATATTAACCTAGTGCAAACCTCCTACTGCCTAGAAGCAGAAACTGGGGACTTCCAACAGTCTCCCATCTCCCTCCACCCCCAGCCCTCTACTGCTTACAAAATAAGCCCCACACGTCTTAGTTGATGCTCTAGTAACCTCTCCATCCTGGATATACCTTTACAATCTAATTACCCACCATGCCTCTTCATTTTTGCTAAACTCACAACTTTGATGAGATTCTTTATAATAGGAACTCTTCAATTACAAATTGTTTCCTTAGGCTAAAATGCTCAGCCCTATCTCTATTTATCCATACCCCAGACTCCTATTCCAGATCAGCTTCTAGGAAGGTCCAATTCTAGTACCACCATCATCTGAAATCTGCTCTCCACCTCATACCAGGGAGGAGTCCTCCTTACACTTGTCTCTTCATGTATAGCACTCCTATAGCATATATCATGGTCCACCTAGGACAAAAGCTATTTATTTACCCATAAGACTTATTTTCCCCGTAGACCTGAAACTTTCTTGAAGGTCCATGCTAGATTCTTCTGGATTGCCCTCAGCATGCATAACACATTGTACATAGCACACCGCAATAAATGCTTAAGAAAGTAAATATATTACTTTGGAATATCTCTTGAAAAATCAAGAGATATTCTCTTAAAAATTATTTAAGATATTCTCTTAAAAAATATCTCTTAAAAATTCTTCTTTAAGTCTAATGACATATGCATAACCCTATTATAACTTAGGATACATATTAATCTAGAAACAGTCTCAAACTTCGATGTATATGTGAATCATTGAGAACTCTTAACAACACAGATTCTAATTCACATTTTGCATTTCCAGCCATTTCCCCCAATGATACCCACATTGCTGGTGGGTGGATCACACTTTGAAAAGCAAAGGTCTATAAAAAGTTATGACCCCTCGGCCACCTTTCTTCAGTGCCTTGCATATATTAGGCACTCATAAATGCACATAGACTTAATCTGGCTTGCTCTACTCTGAAGCCTTCTCTTGCTAGTCAGCTCTGCCTATTTGCTGTTTCTAAGTAGATCACAGGCTGAGATATTTTTTCCCCAAGAAGCCTTTAAGAAGCCCAAACAGCCAGGCACATATTAGATCAACCAAGTACTGTCCAATTGAAATATAACTTAAGTCACAAGTGTGAGCTGTATGTGTAATTCAAAAATTTCTAGTAAAATTTTCATTCACATGTTAAAAGGCAGTAACAAGTAAAATTAATTTTAATGTTTTCTTTAACCTAATATGTCTAAGATTCTCATTTGAACATGTAAGCAATTAATTAATATAAAAAGTAAGTGACCTCTTTTATATTCCTTGTTTAGTACTATGTAATGGACATCCAGTACGTGTTCTACACTTACACACATCTCAGTCTGGACAAGTCACATCGCAAGTGCTCAAGATCACATGTGGCTTGTGACCCTTGTACTGAAACCTCAAGACAGACTTGCTATTCAGGTGACCCAATGACTCAGGGAGTCTGGACAGCAGATGGGAGACAAGAAAGAACAGGCCAGGCAAGGAGGCCCAAGCTTGTGGTTGACAACTCACCGGCAGCTTCCCGTGGTTAAGGATGCTGCTCAGGTAATCTTTGGCTTCATTCATTCTGCTATCAGTCTTTTCTAACAAAGGGATGGAGTCTTTTATTTTGGTGTGATTATCCTTCAAACATTGCTCCAGGAGGGCCTCTGCCAGCAGCAATTTCCCAAAGTCATCTGAAAAACAAGGCAGGGATCAGAGTGGGTAGTGAGGGCTGCACCCCTTAAACAAAGCAGATGTGGATATGGTACATACTCCTGGACACCCCCCCACCCACCCACCCAAGGACACCACCCAGCACAGGAACAGCTCAGGTCTGAGAGAATAAAGACACATTTGCCATAAACTTAAACAGACTTTGGGCTGGGGATGTGGCTCAAGCAGTAGCGTGCTCGCCTGGCATGTGCACGGCCCTGGGTTCGATCCTCAGCACCACGTACAAATAAAGATGTTGTGTCTGCCGAAAATTAAAAAAAAACAAAAAAACTTAAACAGACTTTAAGACGGCGGCGGCGGTGATGGAGTGCATGATCACAACACAAATCTCCCTTTTGGGTTTATTTCCTGCCAGGTTTAAGCGGTTGAGAAGGCAGCAGAGTTCCCAAGACTTGCAGACAAATTTTCAGAATTTCAGAATTTAAAATGAAGGCTAAAATCACGCCCTGATGTGGTACTAAAATTCTTAAATCAAGTAGGAATCATCTCAAAGGACTGAAGAAGAAAATTATGTGAGGTGGCTTAATAACTCATTTTCACATGCTTCTAATTTCTGTGTAATCATAATTGGTTTTCTCCATTTTTAAGGTATTTTAATATGGCCTAGGGATAACCTAGCAGTCAAGGCAGAGTTCAAGTGGGAAGCACATTTACTTGTGTAGCAAGGCAAATCCTTATGCTTAATACTTGCATTTTCAGGAGTTGTCACTCATAGGGTAGCTCATTTGCATACCTGACCACTGGGCAGGTGGCTCACACTGCTTGGTTGAATTTGCTGTCTCTCCCTACCACACTGGAAACTCCAGTCTTGTGACCACCATATTCCCACTACCTGCAGCAGAGATGACTTGGGCATGAAAGCCAGGTATATATACATTCACCCTGCAGAGCGTTTGAGTTTCACTGCAACCTAAAGTAGCTAGCTATGCTCAGTGTCCCTCTCCCAGAGAAAGGACTAGACCTGCCACTCAATGTCAGTGTATAATAAATACCTGTCAATCACATTCTCTCAACTTCCCAGAGAAGAAGCCATCAGGCTCTGGGAGTTAAGTGCCAACCCAACAAATGTCTTTAGGAATGCATGCTCTCAGTCCCATCTTTTTGGAGTCCTCTTTCTGTTGCCATGATGCTGTCTTTGGACCTACCCAGGGGACCCACTCCCTCCTCACTCTCAGGATCACTCCTGTTGTTTGCTCAGTCTCAAAGCCACAAGTCCACAATTACAGGCTCTAGAGAGGAGTCTCCCTTCCTAAGGGATAACTCCTTGTAGAGAGTAGTCTCAGACCCAAAATCCCGGGAGACTTTTGCTCTGGGTACACCTGCTACTGGATCCTTTGCTACCTACCTCATGATTTTTTTTTAAATTACTATTTTGAGGAAATGGCCAAAAAAGTATTTGGATCAAACAATCATCCACGTGAGGGGGCCCAGGTTGGTGGAAAACTCTATAAAGAACCATTTTGGTAATATATCAAAATCATTTTTGTATAACCCCATTGCACCAGCAATTCCACTCTTAGAGACGCCCTTGCACACGTATAAAATGAACTATGCATAAGATAATTCCTGCAGCATTACTTATACTAGCAGAAAAGTAGAGACAGCTTTTATATCCAAACAGGAGGCTAAAGTATGATTATGTCCACAAGGGACACCATACAGCCAAAGACAAGAGGATGCTCTGCATGCTGTTATGGAATGAACTGCAAGATAAATTGGTAAGAAAACAGAGTGAACAGGAGTGCCTGTCGTATGCTACTGTGTGTTTACGCATACAAATTGGTGACAGGACACACACACACACACACACACACACACACTGAAAACCTTGCTGGCTGACGACAGGGTGCAAAGACGCGGCGAAGTTTTTCTGTTCTTCGCTTGCTGGTACTTTGGGAATGTTGTAGTATATGAATATATTACGTAGTCAAAAGTAAATTTTCAGTCAACCCAGGACTAAAAGCCAATCTTCATTTCCAAATCTCAGCCAGGAGGAGGGAGGGCTACCCATAAGTGTGTGGCAAGTGCCAGTCTCCAGTGGCATCCTGAGCTGAGCGCCTCTGGGCAAGTGGCTCGCCCCATCCAATAGGCTTCGCTTTGGCAAAACTGGAGAGAAATGCGCTCCTCCCCAGGCTCCACCCCTGGGCGTGTCCACGCCCCTCAGCCCTGAGGAGCCTCTGCACAGGCTCAGCAACCAGGCCACCCTGCCCGCCACTCACCTGCCAGACCCAGCACTCCCAGAGCCCCTTAGCTCAGTGCTTTCAAGCCAAGAGAAATCTGCTCCCCTCCCAGCACACCCCTTAAGGCCCTGGGCTGGTGCAGGCTTATTGCTTGTAATACAACCCGGGTGGCATCAGACAGGTGCAAAACATAGAGTGCATGTGTGGAAATCTGACAGAGTCATTTTGAGTTTGTTGAATCTAATGCTAAAAAAAATTGAGGGGGGTACTTTATGTATTTTTCTTCTTGTATTTTTATTTATACTGTATTTTATGAAAAGTATCAGAGCACAGCAGATTGGAGATTTAAACAATATTAATCACTCACCACAAACCATTTGAGAAGCACTGCTCTAAACCATAAGAGTGTCTTCTACTGCAAAAGAGGAACTAATATTTGATGAAGGCTTACTAAGTGCCAGGCACTTTATTATAGTTTTATTTAACCTGTACAACCCTAAGAGGTAGATATTATTTCCACTTTGTAGATGATGATAAAGATAACAATATCCTTAGGGTCACTATCGATAATAATATAACACAAGCAAAAAATCATCTGTCCTGCATCCCAATCAGAGCAGAGCTTCTGGTAATTTAAAAATAAATAACAGTCTCCAAGCTGCAAAGAGTTGGTTAAAAACTAATAGTAAATTCTAGGGCAGGGATAAGAATTGTTCTCACTTTCATGCACCTGTGAGTGTCGGAATATTTGTTTATGAACACTTCAGGTCCTTCTCCGGGAGTCTGTGCCCTCTCTGCATTCTCCCCACTCAGTCTTGTTTTTTGTTTAGCAGACTCTCAGTGGGTATCAGAAATTCACTTTTGTCCCCTTGCTCATTTCTCCTTCTCCCTGCCCCACCCCTCGCTCCCTTTCCCCTCTTCTTTCCATTGCATTTGCCCCTCAGTGGAACAAAAAGATATTTTGGAATTAAATATTCTAAATTTCAGTTGTTAAAATAAGAATCCAGATGGATAAAGGAATCCTTGTCTCCCCAAAGCTAAGGGAGTTGCTTTGGAACATCCTTTCAGTCTGAGACCTACTCCCTGCTGGGTGTGGGTCAAGGGCTCCAGCAGAAGCCTAGAGGGGGTCTGATCTCATGGCCACCCATTTCCTCACTCTCCTTTTGAAGCTTCTGGCAGCTACTTTCCTTAAGTCCTCTCAGCTCCCAGCCCCTTGCAGCCTCTCTCAGGGTGCCAGGTCACAGGACCAACTTGAAGACCACCTGTCTCCTGCTCAGACCTCATTTAAAACACACTGTCTTCCCCCACAAAGCCTGCCAATCTGTAGTTAGGAAATGTGGGTCCATCCAGGAAGGAGGGTTCAGATCAGGCCCTTCCCCTTCGGTTAAACAGAGCATGGTGGTTTCGGCAGCTGCTCCCCACACAGGGCTGGGGCCTTCCAACCACAACCAGGGGAGGAAAAGGCAGAAACTCAAGAGAGGCCACCTGCCCCCAACACCTCTCCCAACTTCAACTACAAAAATGTTCAGAACAATCTCCAGTTTAAGAAGGAGGGGGAGGAGGAGGAGAAAGAGATCATCCAGCTAAAAAAACGAAACAAAAATATGGGGTGACTACAGATGAGGTAACAAGAGGAGCAGACATGACAAACCAAGATGTGAAAGGTTAATGACAGAATCCAGGTGTGTGTGTGGGGGGGGGGGGGTTTGCAAGTGTTCCCTGCAAAATTTTGACCTTTGCTGTATGTTTCAAATTTTCTTGTAAAATCCTGGGAGGAAGGGACAATCCAACAGCCAAACACAATGTGTGGCCTTCCTTGGACCCTAACAGACTGGGAAATGTCATTGCTAGAGTTTTTGGAGAGGTAGCAATGGCATGGTGGATTTTTTTAAAAGAGTTCTTATTTAATTAATACACACTGAAATATTGACGTGTGGGAGAGAAATGGGCTGAGGTTTTGCTCAAACAAGATTGTGTCTGAGTTCGTGATCACTAAAGCTGGTTGATAATGCGTGGGATTCAATCTTCTTTAAAATGTTTTGGCAATTGTTTATAATAATAAAGTTAAAAAAAAAAAACACTTAGATGGGCTCTTTGTTTTTATGTGAACAAACCCCAGAACCACCAGCCACATTTTGGGGGTTCCCCTGCCCCAACCGAACCAAATCTAAATGGGATGTGAGTTTGAAGAAACTGCAAAAGAGTAGTAACTCCCCTCTCCCAGGATGGTGGTGAGGAGCTGCTCCTCAGATAGGAAAAGGATGGGGGGGCGCCTGTTCTGTTTCATTGTCTCCTCATATTTTTTATACCAATTGACAGGGCCCCCCAGGCTCCATTCTCTCCTCCTCCCTGGAGTGGAATCTATGTTCTGGAAGCTGCTTTTAGTTTCTGTAGAAACCTCTAACAGGACCTGGGCTCCATGGGAGTCAGCTCTCCCCGTCTGGGCCTTCTGCCCCTCCCACACTGTTGAAGCTTCAGGCCACTGACAGAGTCCAACAGGTCAGGAAGGACTTTAAGAATCTCCCTTCTGGACAGTGCCAACACCCCCAAAAAGAATAGGCTCACATTATCTTGAGTGGCCAAGAAACCCTAAGAGAGAGAACCAAATACCTGTCAACCTAAAAATGCTCTGTGCGTGGGCTTTGGGAGTCATTTGTTTTCATTCCTCACATTCACGTGTGTGTGGACCTGCATGTGTGCGCATGTGTACGTGCGTGCACATGTGCTGGGGATTGTGCATCTGGGTTTAACAGTGCGAGAAAAGTCACTCAGAACCAAACCCAGAAGTTGGGAGGAGAAACTGCCCCTCGTTTCCCTCCTTAAACTGGTCCGTTCTCACAGTGACACCAGCCCAGGTTCCACTCTCTGCCTCTGCCACCTGTAGGTCTGCTGGCAGAAACTCAGGTGTGGGCACAGTCTTTACCACATAGACACTCTGTGACTTTTGGGCCTTGTTGTTCCTACATCTAAGACAGAGACAAATCTTAGCCCTCCTCATAGGGCTGTTTCCAAGAATTTTGTTTTGTTTTGTGTTGTTTTGGTAGCAAAGATTGAACTCTGATGTGATTAACCATTGAGCCACATCCCGGCCCTTTTTATTTATTTTGAGACAGACTCCCACTAAATTGCTTAAGCTGGCTTTGCACTTGCAAACCTCCTGCCTCAGCCTCCGGAGCACTAGGATTACAGGTAGGCGCCACCATGCCCAGTGGTTTACAAGAATTTTAAAAACAGAGACAGCTCTTTATACCATATTATCTACTGCTTATGTTGTACCAGTGTTTCCCAATGATGATCCATAGAATATGGTCAACTGAAGATTGAGAAATGTTTATCCTCTAGCCTTGTCTTTCACATCACATGCAGGTGGACACATTAAGGTTCTGCAGTTGTTGCTGAGTTTTTGTTTGTTTTTTTTCTCTGTTTAACATCATTGATTTTTTTTTAATATTTATTTTTTAGGTGTAGATGGACACAACACAATGTCTTTATTTTTATGTGGTGCTGAGGATCGAACCCAGGACCCGCCCGTGTTAGGCAAATGCTCTACGGCTGAGCCACAATCCCAGCCCCATCATTGAATTATTTTCTTCCAATTTCTCAGCTTGTTGGCTCCCTAAACCCTTTTCTTGTGGGATACCAATTAACAAACTATGCAACCTCATTGAGACCTCTAAGGAACAGCTTAGAAATACTGGCCCATGTGAATGCAAGGAGGCCTCAGGTCCTGTCTTGGGCCCTACACATTTCTCTGGGGTGCCACCCTCACTCAGATTCACACACCTCACCCAGGAGTCAAGGCCTCATAGAGGGGATAGAGGCCCCTGCAACTTATCCACTCTGCCCTGGAGCGGGGAGCTTACCAGCTTCTCCTAAAGCACATCTGCAGCTCTGCCCACCACCCCTCAGTTTCATGAGTAAGTAGGTTTAAACCAACTTCAAAGCCTCAAACAGATTGTCACTAAGCTCCTCAGGACCCTCCCATCCTTCCTCCTTGGGCAAACACACCCTTCCCTTCCCAAACACATGGGCCAGTAAAAGTTCTGCTGCTTCCTTAAAACCATCTACCCTCCTCTGAGCTCTACAATCCAACACACAATCACCCTCCAATCACTTCCTTGATTCCCATCCACTTTGGAAGTTCTTTGAGGGTAGGAATTCTGCATTATGTATTTTTGAGGTGAGAATGCAAATGATTAGGTTGTACTTTGAACCTGGGTTCAAATCTTGTTCCCTTCACTTAGTGGCTGGATGATCGAGTTATTTAACTTCTCTGGACCTCAGTTTCTTCATCTGTAAAGTGGGGCAATCAGGAGTAACGTCTCCTGGGGTTGCCTTGAAAAGTAATGATTTGACTGAAAAGTCTTTAGGTCAGCGGCTGGCACACAGCATCACATCAATGTTAACCATTATTATTATCATCCTGTCTCCTCCACAGAAACTTCTCCAGGCTGGGCAATCTTTAAAAACTCTTTATATCTATATTTACTCTCTGTCTCCTTCAACAAAAGCTCCCAGGTGGCTGCGCACACGAAGGGGACTCAGGGAGAGCTCTCGGCCTGAGAGGGAACAGGATCTAGGGTTAGATACTGGGCGGGGTGTTCCCGCCACCCCATCAGGGTGCTTTCCCGCCCCAGCACGAGAGCCCAGCCCAGTCAAACCAGCCCTACTGCTAAAGCCACCAACTGCCCGGGCTGGATAGGGTCCGAGTTCACCGCAGATGAGGAAACTGAGGTTCGCCAGCCTCTTCCTCACTTCACAAAACTACTGGTGCTCAATAAGCCTCCACTCCTGTCTGCTGTGGAGCGAGCTGTGCTTAAAGGGAGGGCCAAGAGGGGCAGACACAGCCTTCACCTGATAAGAGTTTGGGGAGACTAGAGTCCTGTCCACGCACTGACAGGATGTGTGCAGCTACCACCATTCATTGTAGACAGAACTACTCGCCGATCCTAAAGGGCAGAGAGCAAAAGCCGTTTATCTCCCTTCTCTCCAAACACCTAATATGCATGTGATTTTTCTCCTGGGGTACCAGAACCTTCCTAACTGCCTGGCTGCTTGCCGGGACAGTCAAGGCGCTCTTCCTGGAGGAGGCGGTGCTTTTCGCGCGCTTGCTGCTGGTTCTAACCAGTCCTTTCCCTCACTCACCCGTGTCCAGAGAGCCGATCCTGGAGCTCGGGCTGGATCGTCGGTTGGTTCCGCTGCCGCCAGGCATGCCCAGCGTCTGCAGCTGCCGGACCAGCTCAGGCATGCGGTCCCAGTGGCCCTCAGCGCGGCAGCGGTCCAGTTCGCTCTCCACCTTCAGGTGGGTGCCGTGCGCGCCCTTCGCAGCCATCTTCGCGCGGGCGCTGTCATGGAAGGTGCGGCTGAAAAGTGGAGACCCGGCCGAGGGCGGCGTCCCGGCTGGGGCGCACACGACGGCGGGGTCGACGGAGGCGCTGAAGGTAGCCGGGGCCCTGGTGGCAGCGGGGGACCTGGTGGCTGCGGGAGAGTGGCGATAGCAGCAGCACCGAGTGCACCGCCCGGCGCCTCCGGGCTGGGGCTCCGGCTGCGCGGTCCGGACGCGTCCTGGAGAAGCCTCCGCCTCCGCTGCAGCAACTCCCGGCGTCGCTCTCGCCTCCTATGCGGCAGCTGCTGCCACAACCCCCGCCCCGGGCCCGGGCGCCGCCAGCTGCGGACCCGCCCCTGGCCAAGGCTCCACCCCCGAGGGGGCGTGGTGCGGCCCCGGAGAGCCGGGCGCGCGGACGGCCAGCGCGGCCACAGCAGCCAGGCGCGCGACGGGCGCTCCCGGCCTCCCCGGCGCCCGCCCCCCGCCGCCGCGGAGTCGGAGCTCACTTTAATGCTGCGCGGAGCCCGGGCGCCGGGGGGCGCCTCGCTCCCCGCCCCCTCCCGTCGGGGCTCTTGGTCTGGGAGAGTGCCGGCTTTGTGTGGTGGCCCTGTCACCGCTGCTGCCCCTGGCACGTCACAAATCCTGGGAGAGGCCGGTTGGCCGGCCCCAACCCAGAGAGCGAGCCTCCCCGGGAGCGGGCCTGGCGCGCGCCCGCCGGGCCCTGTAGAACGCGCGGGCCTGGCGCGCAGCTCGGGTGGTGCTCAGGAGCAAGTGGGCCGGTTCTGACCCCCGAGAGTTTTTTTCTTTTTTAACTGCGGAGTTCCTCTTTTCCGATTGAACTACACTACACTAGCAGACTGCCTTGAATCTCTGTTGCCCTGGATTTCTCCAACCTGATATTTACTTAATTCTTCATGGTGGTGTCGAAAGACTGTGGTCAAAGCTGCGTGGAACCCTTAGCAGGGCTTAGCCCGGCGACCAGGAGAGCCCGGAAATTCAAAGGATTACTAAAGAACACTGACTGGTTACCTTGCGCCCAAGGCTCACAGTCTAGCACAGGGATGGAGGACATCAATCAAGTAACCACAGCAGGACCCAAAGAACCCAAATACCTGTACTTAAATCACACGTTGTATGACCCATTCTGAAGTGTCCACAAGACAAGTCACTGCAAGCTTTTGAGCTCAGCCTCCAAGGACTTAGAAAGTGACCGTTTCCTACCCCACTTGGAAATCTTCACCACACCTCCCTTGGGAGTACATTCCAACACCAGAAAACTTTCGCTGTTTCCGGACAACTGTAACAGTGGGAAGGTGGTTCTGTCAAGAGGAGCCCAAACTCCTGGTATCTAGCACCACAGGGCCCTTTGCTTCTAGAGAGTTGTCAGTTGGTGACAGTCTTCCTGTCCCTACCTATAGCCCCAGCTCCCCTATAGATACCCTATAGGAACCCCTGTTCTCAGGGTTCCAAGTTCAGCTCCATTCCTTGCTTGGGGAGCAGAATTTCCTAATCCTAGGCCCTGCTCTCAACCCCTAGGAGCCAGGAGATAGATGGAAGAAAATTGGGACAGCTCTGGCAGTTGGAATTTAGAGACAATTTACTCAATCAGCTCATAAACCCCTCTTGGCCTACTCCTGTCAAGCTGGTTTTTTGTTACCCTTTGGCTGCCCCTGATGGTCACCAGAACTGAATTTCACTTGGAGAGAGGTTGGATTAGAGTAGCCTGAGAACACACTGTGATTTGCCCCTGGCCTGGCATTCCTGGGAGTCAGTCCTGGAGCAGGAATGAATCACCGGTTTGATAAAAGAGAGTTAACTTTAAACCTCTTCTCTTTTCTCCCCACTCCTTTGCCAGACCCTTCCCATATTACAGAACACCAGGGAACTGACTGCAAAGGAAATCACTGCCTGTTTCTTTGACTGCATCACCCAGCCTTCCTGCTTTAGATTTATAACAAGCTGTTCCTCAACATACTTGATCCCTTCTCAGCTTTTTTTCCAGGAGGGACAAGACCCTGGTTCTATAGTGACCAACATTTTTCAGGGGAGTGAGAGATTTTAGGAAAAGAACAAACAGCAGCTGTGATTGCATCCATACATTTGCTAATATAAAAAGGCAAATAGAACTGGCACAGTAGCACTAGCCTGTAATCCCAGCTACTGGAGAGGCTGAGGCAGGAGGATGATAAATTCCAGGACAGCTTGGGCAATTCAGCAAGACCTTGTCTCCAAATAAGATGTAAAAAGAGCTGAGGATTGGGGCTGGGGTTGTGGCTCAGTGGTAGTGCGCTCACCTGGCATGCGTGAGGCACTGGGTTCGATCCTCAGGACCACATAAATGAAAAGTAAAGATATTGTGTCCACCTAAAACTGAAAAATAAATATTAAAAAAAAAAAGCTGAGGATGTAGCCCAGTAGTAGACCTCCCTGGGTTCAATCTTAGTTGCGGGGGGTGGGTACAAATAAAAACTATGGTTGTTATTGTTTAATAATCTGAAGTCCTCTCAGATGAGTGCTTAGGACGAATTCTGATGAAGATGCTACTACCAGATCACTGAAGGTGCTACCAAAGCTGTGTGGTGAGAAACCAAACTCAATTTATTGCTTACAACAGAGATGAAGGATCTTGGCCATGATAGTTTTTTTTTTTTTTTTGTAATGTCTCCGAGAACATAATGAAATTCACAGAAGACAAATGCAGCTGCTGAGAAATGTGTATTTTTAGCAAGCAACAACCACTGTACGGCATGACACACCATCTGGTTTAAAGCAGACCCTAAAAATCAAGTCAGCAGAAGACAAGTTGGAGAGGTTTTTATCATAGGACCATGAGAAAGGATATGGTAAGCTATTGATCTTGATGATTCTCATGTTAAGGGCTTGGTGAGCTCTCAAATATACTTACAGGTTGAAAAGTTTATAATATGTAGGTAGGCCCAGAAAAACACAGTATTGAAGAGCAAATTTTAGCTCAAGATTAGCCTATTCACATTTCAGGGATAAGGTTACCAAGGTCTCGGTTAAATCAAGCAATGACATGGAAATTTCAGAAAAGTTGGGGGCACAGTGACTACAGTGGCCAATGAGACCCAGAAATCCTCATGCTTGTCTTTATTGCTGGGAACATTTTGCACATGTGATTGTCTAGAGTAAGGGACATACCTCCATGGGATATTTTTTTTTCCTTTGACAAGTTGATAACTTGTCCATGGAATTTTTAGGCCCCCTCTGAGCTAAAAGAGTAAGCAGGTGGATGTATCAGTCTTGGAGTTCACCGCACTGTGGGAACTTTTTCTGTGGGACACAGGAAAAAGTCATCCAGATGTTGAATAAGAATAAGGCACTTAACGGCCTTTGGGGTCCTGGTTGAGTACTTGTAGAAAGTAGGAAGGCTGAGGCAGGAGGATTGCAAGTTCAAAACCAGCCTTAGCAACTTAGGGAGGCCCTCATAAACTTAGAAAAACGTTGTCTCAAAATTTAAAAACAAACAGAAAAAAAAGGGGGGGATGAGGATGTGGCTCAGTGGTTAGGTGCCCCTGGGTTTAGTCCCTAGTACCAAAAAAAAGAAAAGTAGGAGTACACCTCAGTCCTTACTGAACTCCAAAGCACAGCAGCCATGTAGATTGTTGACTTCCTTAGAGAAGTCAAATAAGTGTATTGATTAGTTTGATCCAAAAAGACACCAAAGAAAGTGCCTCACAGATTTATTAATTGTTAAACACTGAGACCCCAAGCATAGAATAGTATTTAAGTTTGGTACTCAGGAGAAGGAGAAAGAATGACTATTGATATTATTATTATTATTATTATTATTACTACTGTTGATATTATTGATAATATTGATATTATTGTACCCATATCAATCAGAAATTTGTAAGGTTGTCCTTTAATTTCTAGAGAAATATTCCCTTGTGGGTTGTTTTTTGTTGTTGTTGTTGTTGTTGTTAGACATAATATCTTTATTTATTTATTTTTATGTGGTGCTGAGGATCAAACCCAAGGCCTCGCATGTGCTAGGCGAACGCTCTACTGCTGAGCCACACCCCAGCCCCCCCCCTTGTGGGTTTGTGGGTAGAATGGGAAGTTGAACATTTTCACTGGGGATTTGCTTTTCACTTATTTTTTTCTTTAGTTTCTTAGTTCTAGGGCTCTTTCAAAATATTTGGCCAGGTTTTAGAACTCTAGCTATTATTATTTAGAATTCTATCTAGTATTAAATCCCCTGTTTCTAGCTTAAGGCCATTCACAAAAAAAGAGAAGAGAGCCTGGCACATCTGCTTCAGGATCAAATACTACTGAACACTGTCACTAGGTACTAAACTGCCTAGTACCAAAGTGTGGGTCCGACTATGATCTTGACAAACTGAATCAGAGCACAATCTATTTGCACAGGGAAGACTGAGAATACCTCCTCAAGACCTTGACCAACACATGTACTTTTCTAAACCCCTTTGGTTTCCTATGCATTCTAAGATCTTTTCAGTCACTGTTGAGTGTCTTCCTATTCTGACTTTTTCACTGAACTTTTTGAATCTGAGGCGCCTATTAGCATATGAATCAATTGTCATATCTGTTGCTCTGGAATATAGGTTCCTAAAACAATTTCAGATTCTCTGTGGTAATCTTCCTTATCTAGACCTCAAAGAGTCTTAGACAATAATTTTCAGCTGAGAATGAAACTGGGGCTTAAAATCCACTATAGATGATTTTTTTCTGAATGAGATTTAGCAGAGATAAGCAAGCCGGACATGATGGGTCATGCTATTGTAGAGACAAACCAGGCAAGGCACCGATGACACCAGGAAACAGTTTTATTTGGCTGCAGCCAGGTTCAGAGGGCACAGCTTTTGCTATAATCAATTAATCCCCTGAACCCCGAGTTCAGGGAGTTTCAGAGTTTTATACCCAGCATGTAAGGGAAGGGGCTCAAAAGTTCACAGTCTGCAGAAGTTCACATAAAAGCAGCTTTTTCTTTCACTGTTTTGGGCAAGTTAACCCTTCAAGGACAACACCTGAGAAGGGGAGAGCTGCTTCTCCCCTCTCTTCCCTCCCCCTGCCAGCTGTTACCATGGAGCCCATTTGTAACTTATCTTAAAAATGTAGACTTCTCTGTAAAGCCCCAGCTCAAGGCCAGAGGCCTTGTTTGCACATTTCTACAAAGTACTATACTGGATATGTTTGTGAAAAACTAGGGGGTGTCCAGCACCTGGAGTGCTGGTATCTTCTTGGCCAGTGGCCAAGTAAACAGGGCAACACGAAAATAGGAAGTTTATCTACATTGGACTCTTGCGCAGACTCTTTTGCTGACAGTCCTAAAAT